AGCAAAGCGGACAGTCTCTGTGATGGACTAACATAGAAATGCCACCTGTTTATTTAGAATTCGAAGTATGCTTTTGAATTGTACCCGACACCTTGTACTGTCTCAGTTAATCCTTAGAACAAGTCTCCCTACACTGTCCTCATTTTGGTGTTACTGAGTCTTCTTTACAGTTGTCATTTGTGGTGCTTATAGATTGTATGGGTAATTTGGGCAGGGACCTGTATCTACTTCTTAGTATTGGTAGCCTTGGCTGGAAGTCTTGAAGAAAGGGTCTGTGATTACTAGATGACTCAGCATGTATATGTCTAGCCCTGGCCAGCAAGCAGATACAGACTGCTCTAATTTCATGTTCTAATTTCTTGATCACACTGCAAGCAGCAATGTGTTAGAACCAGTAAGATTTCAAAAGAATTATTGAAAAATAAGTAAGAGCAATTAAACACATAACTGAGTTCAGAATTTATTATTGAAGACTCTCTGAGTTCAGGATTTACAAATCACTTGATTAATTTTTACCTTGGGTTTTTACTATTCAAACATACCTATTCATTATTCTTTTTTTTGGTTTTTCAAGACAGGGTTTCTCTGTATTGTTTTGGAGACTGTCCTTGAACTCGCTTTGTAGACCAGGCTGGCCTCGAACTCACAGAGATCCGCCTGCCTCTGCCTCCAGAGTGCTGGGATTAAAGGCATGTGCCACCAACGACCAGCCACTCCTTTTTTCATATCTATTCAATGTAGAACTAGAAGTTCTAGCTAGAACAATAAGATAACAAAAGATCGAGCAGATACAAATTGGAAAGGAAGAAGTCCAAGTATCATTATTTTTCCAGTTCAAGCACAACATGGCAGTTGCACATATAAACTCACAATGGCTGAGACTTAATGCATAAGATTTACACGAGGTCAAGCCAGATAAAATGCCCCCCAGGATCCAATGGGGAGGAAGTCACAGAGTCCCATCCCTAGCTGAGAGCTATTGTGAATTGATGACTATCGGAAGAGGGAGAGTCAGTTTTCTTCAGGAACACTGAAAGGCTACCCATGTACATACTAAGTAGTTTTTAAAAAAGGACACATACAATTGAAAGAGGATAGTGTTGTGGTGGCAGAGACAGGAGAGAAACTGAATAGGAGGGAATGGGGGCATTTGAACAACACACACTATATGCATGCATGAAATTCTAAAAGCAATAAAAGAAGAAAACAAATGACAATGAATGCTGACAAGGATGTAGTAGAAGAGAAACCCTTATTCAGTGCTGACAGGGATGAAAATAGTCCAGCTATAACAGAAACAAGTATGGAGGTCCCTCAAAAAGCTGAACCTAAGTGACTGAAATGACTCATTCATAGCAATCTTGCTACATGCAAAGGTCATGGAGGTATTTGTACATCTCTGTTTATTGCTGTGCTAGTCACAACAGGAACAGAAACTAGTGTAGATGTCTGTCATGGATAGAGAACAAGGGGTACTTATACAATGAGATTTTATGCAGGCACAAAGAAAAATGAAATTATGACATTTTCAGGAAAATGGGTGTAGCTGGAAATTATGTTCAGTAAGCCAGACTCAGAAAGACCATGCATTTCTCTCATATACAGAATCTTGATTTAAAAGTATGTAATTTCTCTCTTTCTCTTTCTCTCTCTCTCTCTCTCTCTCAAGAGAGTAGAAAATAGGGAAATGAAAATTGGGTAATGAGAGAGCAGAAATAGGGCTGATTGTAGGAGGAAAGAAAAGGAGCTGGAGTTAAGAGGGGGTTGAAGAAAGGACTGTGGCAGAGGGGAAAAGGAAGAATAAGTGTAATGATACATGTATGAAGATATAATGATGAAACCCATTACCTGTGGTGATATTTTGTTTGTGATGTAAGATCAGAGTGTGAAGCTAGCCACACTAGTTAGCTTTAGATGCCAGGCAGTAGTGACTCACACCTTTAAACCCAGCAGTCACACTAGTTAGGCACAGAGGCCAGGCAGTAGTGACTCACACCTTTAAACCCAGAACCAGGAAGGAAGGTGGAGACAGGAATGTTATGGCAGGGCAGAATATAAGGTGGGAGGGGACAGGAGCTCATTGCATTCAGTTTGAGGTTTTGCAGAGACAGGATCACCCTTCGGTCTGAGGATTCAGTAGAGGTTATGGCTGGTTCCTTTATGTCTCTCACCTTTTAGTATTTACTCTGATGTCTGACTCTGGGTTTTTATTAAGACCTATTAGAACTCAGGCTACAATTACCTTGTATGGTAACCTAAAAAAACAACAACAACAACAAAATGAAACAATATTTTTATAGCATGGATTCCTAAAAGTAAATTGCTAGGAAAAAGGATGTGATCAGTTTTAGCTATGATAGGTTTTGATAACATGCTCTCTAAAACATTTAAGGCTATATTCCTTTTAATTTTTCCTACATACTTGCCAAAGTTGACACTATTGTGATTGAGGATAGGCAACTTTAGTACAGAAGGTAAAGAATTTCCATTTCAGGGCAAGAAAGCTTGTTCATGGGCATCTGGTTTAACATTATTGGGCTTCCCATGACCAGTGATGTGATCTTGGGTAAATACGTGACCTTTTCTACCTCTGAGCCTTTATCTATAGAACACAGACAATAGTGACTTTTCTAGATTGTTGGAAAGTTGAAGAATAAAAGAAGTAACTGTATATATACAGTTAGAATTGAAAATTATTGCTGAATTAGCTTTTGCTTTTTTTCATTAAATCTGTATTGAAACAAATTACTTTAGAATCTAAACCTTGCTACAAAATTCTGCTTCACTACTAAATTTCAAAAGAAAAAATTTCAATTTTCTTCTGAAATTATACTTTCAATTGAAAATTATACCTGGAAGAATGTGCTTTGATTTTGCAGCATTTACAAGCTATTTGTTGGCATGTAGTTATTTTATTTTCACTCTGTTTTCTCTATTCAGCTGTGGTGGCTTGAATAGGAATGGCTCTTATAGAGTTATGTGTTTGAATGCTTTGCACTGTTTGAAGCCTTGTTGAAGTAGTTGTGGCCTTGGGGGAGGAAGTGTATCTCCTAAGCTTGAGCTATGCCCGGTGTGGACGCAGTTTCCTTCTGCTAAATGAGGATCAAGATGTAGAAATCTCAGCTGCTGCAGCACCATGTCTGCCTGCATGCTGCCATGTTTGCTGACATGACAATAATGGACTAAACCTCTGAATTGTAAGCCAGACCTGATTAAATGTTTTCCTTTATAGGACTAGCTGTGGTCATGGTGTCTCTTCACAGCAATAGAATACTGACTAAGACACCTGCCATATAACACCAACCATTGCATTTATTGGCATATTTGGGTCTCACAAAAGTATTTTGGAAGTGCTGTATCATGTGATTCACGAAGATGTGCTCCAGGTTTTTTTCACAGCTGATGTACTGTATTAGGAAAATATTTAGGAGAGCTGAATATGTATCTACTCATAGAAACATTTCTCCAGACTTAGAAAACATTGCCACATCACAAAGATAGGGTAACTTTTGATTGCTTTTTTCTTTTTATAAAAGTTGCTTGTGCTGACTGATATTGTTCAGTTTGTAATGAGTTTGAGAAAACAATGAAAAGAACGAAGGTGTTGGGAAATAAAATATGTCTTTTAATTGAAAAGAGAACATGATTGGTTTTTTTCTCCCCCCAATCTAAATCAAATTATTATGGTAGCGCTTTCATGCAATTGGAAAGGGGAATTATTCTCTGGAAATAATGATCTCATTATATAGTCTAAAAATACCAGTTTAAAAACTCTTTCATTGTCTTTATGCAGCAACAAATAATTTAAAAACCAAAATATTTTTAGAGCACATCTGCAAAATTAACTTTTGTCTCAAAATACTGTACAAGCAGTCGAAAAAATTCCTTATTGAGATTTCCATTCATGCTATAGCAAAATATAGATTATCTAGAAAAGAGATGTGAGGTTATTTTCATAGCATACAATAAATAAATGCCTATATTTTTATTTATTTTCATGGGAATTTTAATAAAAATTTTAAAAATTTAGTGAAGATTTTTTTAAAAGAACTATAATGCCAATTTTACACCACATTTCTTAGTTAGGGTTATTATTTCTGCTATGAAACACCATAACCAAAGCAGTTTTGGGGAGAAAGGGTTTATTTGACTTACACTTCCATGACACCGTTCATCATCAAAGGAATTCAGGACAGGAACTCAAGCAGGGCAGGAACCTGGAGGCAGGAGCTGATGCAGAGGCCCTGAGGGAGTGCCGCTTATTGGCTTGCTCCCCATGGCTTGCTCAGCCTGCTTTCTTCTTTCTTTCTTTTTCCACCACCTACACATAACATTTTTATTGATTCTCTGGGAGTTTGACATCATGCACCCTGATCCCAATCCCTTCCCAGTCCCTTCATGTCCGGCCTCGTCTTGTGATCTCTGCACCAAAAGAAGTAAAAGAAAAACAAAGCATACTTTGTGTTGTCTCTATACTTGCTGAAATTGGAATTGCTGGGTCTTGTGGTAGACTGATTCCTATTTTCCAGAGGAATCTCCATACTGATTTCCAAAGTGTGATTTTAGCCATTCTGACAGGAGTGAGATGGTATCTCAGAGTTGCTTTGATTTGCATTTCCCTAATGGCTAATGATGTTGAACTCTTTCTCAAGTGTCTCCCAGCCATTTTAGACTCCTCTATTGAGAATTCTCTATTTAGTTCAGACCCCCAACTTTTTAATTGGATCCCTTGGTGTTTTGGAGATTTGCTTCTTGAGTTCTTTGTAAATTTTGGAGATCAGCCCATTGTCAGATGTGGGGTTAGTGAATGTCTTTTCCCATTCTGTTGTCATACTTTTTAAGGATTTTCTTTGGTGGCTTCCTTTGTAGGCTGTTATCTTTTTGGGGGGGCATTGGGAATAAGGATAGCGGTTGTTTCGGGGACCTCCCCTTTCTCTCCTTACCTGTGTGTCTGCAGTCAACCATATTATGACAAACATAGTCTCATTTGCTCTTTTCAGTCAGTGGGAACACGGATCACCAGCCTCCACATGGTTCCTGGACAGCACAGACCACTCGTACGAATTCCTGCTGCAGAAGGATCGCAGACCCAGACAAGGCCCTCAGAGACTGCCTGGATGACAAGACAGCAACATGGCCTCAGGTGGCAGCATAGACTACCCACATCAATATGGCCTCTGGCAACAGCATAACCTATGGACATTGATGTGGCTGTAGACATCAATATGCCCCCCACTCAGCAGTAGCAGCAGCAGAGCCCAAGGATACTGACATGCCTTCAGGCAGCAGCACAGACCATGGGCATCTGCATAACCTTTGGTGGTAATTCGGACCATTGGCATCAACACTGATGCTGGCAGCAGTAGGACCACGGACACGGACATGGCCCACAGAGGTGGCTTGTAACTAGGACATCACCATGACCTCAGGTAGCAGTGCTGGCTACTCAGATTAGTATGATTCCCAGCAGCATGTCTGAGTATTTGCTTTCACCATTTAGGGAAAATGCTGTGTCCCAAACTCCAGTTCTCACCAGACTTCTTAATAATGTAAAATACCACACAGTTTAAACCTCAAGAACCACTATCAATTGTCCAAACTCATATGTTAGAAACAATTACCAAGGCCTTCAGTCATTTTCCTTTTCCCATTTACTGCTACATGGACCATGTAAATCACACTGCAAATGTAGCTTTTAGCTCTTGGAATCTTATCACAGTGGCAACGTCCACAGTTTAGAGCGGGAAAATTCACTAAACATGCAGTAACACCTTCTGTCTATGTATTCATATACCCAGTTACATCAACTCATTAATCTGTTTTGCCCATCTACTCACCCATTTCTCACCAATCTACGCACAGTACTTCTTTTTACTAAACTTTTTATTGCTATGACCAAATACCCGCGAGAACAACTTAAAGAAGGAAGGGTTTTCTTTGGCTCGTGTTTCCAAGGGTTTCTGTCCATGGCCACCTGCATCCATTGCTTTCAGGCAGGTGGACATTCAGGATGTGAAGGGATGTCACAGGGGAGGGATGCTGTTCTCCTCTCTTGGCAACCGAGAAGCAAAGGGGAAAGACAAAAGAGGCCAGGACATGATGTATTCTCTAAGGACATGCCCTGGGTGACACATTCCTCCAGGTAGGTTACCACACACTCCCAAGATAGCTCCTCCAGCTGGGGACTACACTTCCTTAGTACCCCCTGCAGTCAAACCCCAACATGCTATTGCTTTCTGTATATGTATGTTATCAACTATGCTTCTTTCCCAGAAAAACAAAACCTCAGTAGATTGAAATTTAGGATTAAGTCCTCAAAATCAAGCAGCCTTTGACGGGTGCTGTTTTGGTCAAAGCTTTGGTCTACCACCGGGGTTCAATCTTCTAGTACATAGCGGACTTGCCTTTCCAGTCCTTTCCAGTAATGCTGATCTCATCTCGTGCTCCCTCCAGTCCCCTCCTTTCGTCTTAGCAGTCTTTTCACACCTGATGCAGGGCTTTGCTTTCTCTCTAAATAAAAAGTCTTTGTGAGCAGCAGGGTACCTAGCTACCCAGCTTCTTGCCTGCTCCCTGCTCTGCATCCTTGCTGCTCATCTTTTCCCCAAAGCTCTTCGTTACAATTTCTAGAGCTGTCATTTACGTGCATGCGCTCATGCAGGGGCTATAAAATAAACTCGAGGTAATAAACCAGTGCTAGTAAATCAACCTCATCAGTCTAACTCAGATTCCTTCTGTATTCTCATGAAGAAAAGCCTCGCTCTAGCCAATTCCTCAAAATCTTTCATCAGCTCCATACTAAAGAGTGAAGGACAAATGTTGTGCCAGGACAACAGAGACCCTTTAATCCATCTTGTCCATTTTATCTCTAGCTCCTCTCTTACCCAACACATTATCCAAATAAGCTTGTTCATTATTCGCTGACAGCCAAGGGCATGGGACGAGGGCCAGACTGCCTGTTTTACTTTTGCTCTCTCACCCCTTGATGTGTTCCTTGGGTAAGTTAATTAATTTACCCAATCTGACCAATTGTTGCTACTGAAAAACAACTAGTAGTAATAGTCTTCTTCAAAATATTTGAGGAAGTAAAAGTATTACTCCATGTAAAATTGTAGAGAGTTGTGTATGACAAGTGATCAAAAATTAAGTATATGTGTGTACATTTATGTGTGTGTACAGGTGTGTGATTATATGTTTGTATGTACATGTAAAAATTTGTGTTTAAGTGTATATATTTATGTGAGTACATGTATAAATTTATTTGTGCATACATGTGTACGTTTATGTTTGTATGTACATATCTGCATGTGTGTGTACATGTGTAGTTAATGTTTGTTTGTTTACAAGTGTATGTGTATATATGTGCACATGTATATATTTGTGTTGCATGTACATGTGTATATGCACGTTTGTGCATGTACATGTGTATGTTTATGGGTATGTAAATGTGTATGTTTATGTGTGTGTCCATGTGCATATTTATATATATGTGCATACTTATGTTTCTGTGTGTACATGTATATGTTAATGTTGGTGTGTATAGTTAGGTTTGTGTGATACATGGTGTGTGGTGTGATGTCCAATGTGATGTCAGTGGTCTGAAGTTTGTGCTGTATGTGGTATAGGGTTTACTGTGAGTGTGGAGTGTGTGTTGATTTCTGTGTGGAGTGTGTAGTGTTCAGTGTGTGTTGTGCAATGTGCAGTGTTCTTGTAGAGTGTGTGGTGTGCACACACATGTATCTCCTTGTGTTCACTGCAAATCCCACATTATATACTACACACACTGCTCACTGCCCACTGCAAAAAACCATGCACACTATATTCACTGCACACAGAATACAATATACATGTAATCACACAAAAATGCACATGCACACGCATAAATATTAATATATAAATTTACACACAAAACACAAATATGCACATATGCCACACATAAAAATACATTAGTATAAATAAAGATACATAATTACACAACATAAGCATTCACATGCATAAATATAAACACAGATATAAATATGCACATGGACATACATAAATATACATATACCTACATACACATATTCTTGTACACATAAACTTAGATATACACATGTATACACATAAATATATATGTACACACAAACATAAATATGCATGTGTGTGCATACACATAAAAATGCACAGATATACATACATAAATATACACATGTAGAAGCATAAATATATCCATGTACACACATATATATGTATAAATGCACAAACGTAAACATACTCCTGTATACATGGAAATATATGCATATGATATAAATAGATAAATATACACAGGTAAACACACATAAGCATATACATAATCATTTAATGTACACACACACAAATAAACATACACATGTACATACACATAAATATACACTTGTATACACATGGATCCACCCATAAACATACATATGTACACACAAACCTAAATACACACACACACACACATATATATATATGCACAGTCATGACTTATATAGATGTACACACATCTACATATACATGAATATACACATGTACACACAATCATAACTATACACATATATACATACAAACAAAATACATACATATACACACATAAACACGCACACTAATGCACACATAAACATATATATACACATAAAAACATAAATATGCTGGGCGTTGGTGGCGCACGCCTTTAATCCCAGCACTCGGGAGGCAGAGGCAGGTGGATCTCTGTGAGTTCGAGGCCAGCCTGGTCTACAAAGTGAGTTCCAGGACAGCCTCCAAAGCCACAGAGAAACCCTGTCTCGAAAAACCAAAAAAAAAAAAACCCAAAAACCATAAATATACACATGTGCACAAACATAAATACATATAGGCATACACAGAAACACACATACACACAGAAACAAACACATGGCACACATAAATGTACACATGTACACACACAAACATAAATATATACACATACACACATAAACATACAATGAAAATATATATACACATGTATGCATACATAAATATACATATGTGATCACATACATTTACATATGTACTCACAAATAAAGTATAAATGTGTACACACACAAACAGTACACACTGCACACACCTCACAATACATAGCTAACTACACACACTACACTCTGCCCACTGTATGCACTGTACACAGCACACCACATACTATACTCATACCACACTCCATGCACCCTGAAACACTCACCGCACACTTCACACACCATATACTGCACATTGCATACTTAACACTGTGTGTGACACACCTTTTATCTCACATTACACACTATACACCACACACCACAAAATGCACAATGCACATCTCACACAGCAACTGCATATATCACACTGCACACTGCACAGCACATACTGCACAGGGCACACCACACACTGTGTTCACTCACTGGACACTGCACACACTGTGCACTGCACAACACACACACACTGCACACCCTGCTCTGAATACCACATCCTACACATCACTCCTCACACTCCACACACAATTCACTACACACCGCACACCACACACTGTAAACCACAATCCACATGCTACACCTCATGAAACTCACCCCTCACAGCACACACTGCACAGCACAGACTGTATACCACACAGCAGGTATTTTTTGTTGCATTTATTTTAACGAACAGTTCTCTTTTCCAAAAAATCATTAACATTTTTTCTCTTTGGAATTTTAAAAATTACATCGTGTGTGTGTGTGTGTGTGTGTGTGTGTGTGTGTGTGTGCATGCTATTCCCATGTGTGGAGGTCAGAGAACAAGTTGCTTGAGTTGGGTCTCTCTCATATAGGTTCCAGGAACTGAACTCAGGACTTATAAGGCTTGTCAGCAAACACCTTTACCCAACGAACCATCTCACTAGCAATGTTTTTTTTCATAAAGCCCTTCCTTCATGCATCACTGATATCTTCCCTTCTAAACCCGTGTGTTTCTTTTCCAGTGTCTTTTCAATGGAAACAATAGTTGTAAAAGGTGACTACATCTTTCATAATTAAAGATTGAGCACTTAGTAAAGAGCGCAAGCATTGTTGGTCATTATACAGGGACAACAGGCATAAACTGGGACTGACTTGGGCAAAAACAGGTGATTACCTGTGCATAATGGATTGTGAAGTTGTCCAAATCTATCAGTAAGTCAAGCAAACACTATCTGAGTCAAAATTATTAGTCAGGGTGCTTTTTCGTTTCTTTGTCAGGAAATGAGGATCACTGGGAAAATGTCAGTCATTTCTAGCTGGCCTGTGAGTGCTCGTTCTGTAGACACAAACCTCTGAGTTTCTTCTCTTTGCCCTTTATTTGATTCTGGGGTTGCCTTTCAGATCACTGGTCCTTAGGAAGGAGCAGCTCTACCAGGTGGTGTATTGTACAACTCTCCTGACTATTTCTCCCCTACCCACTTGCGTACTCACACTCTTTCTCTGGGTTCTAGGAAGAGAAATATACTGTTCCTTCCTAAAGGCACACACCAGGCCCTTTAAAATTATCATCAGAGCATCTAAGACCAGACACCACGGAAAAAGATGGGATTATATCAGAGGATTTCTAAAAACTGTATTCCCAAACTATGTTGACATTTGTGCACTTACTGGTTTACTCTTTATCTTGCTTTCTACCTGTCTTTAACTAGAGATTGTCCAAACTCTATTTGAGAACCTCACAATTCCCAGATAGCTACAACCCAGAATGTTCTTCCCTCAGAGAGGCACATGAGTCCTCTGCACTTAAGCTCCACAGCATCTTCCTGGCTAACCTTTCTCAGGATGATTGGCAATAGGAAATGGTTCCTGCCTGGAGAAATGCTTCTGTTTTTACGAGGAAGTGGTATGTCTCTATGTCCTTGGTAGGAGTTCTGGTTAGGTTTTGTCAGCTTGATAGGATTACAGTCACCTGGGAAGAAGGATTCTCAGTCAAGGAATTGCCTTCAATGGTCTGGTATGTGTAGGACATTCTCTTGGTTGTTAGTTAATGTGTGTGTGGGTTCAGCCCATGGTGAGTAGCAATGCCCATGAGCAGGTAGATGGGGCTGGGATGTATAAGATAGGAGCAAGCCAGTGGGAAGCAAGTCAGTGACCATTGTTCTTCCACAGCCTCTGCTTCAGTTCCTGCCTCCATTTTCCTTCTTAGAGTTGATTTCTTGGCTTCCTTCAGTGATTGACTACGCCCTGTAAGCCATTTTTTCCATGAATTGTTGTAGGGTTTTATCATAGCAGGAACTAAACTCAGACAATGGACTGATACCGTACTCCAACCCTGTCCTCATCCACCTCCCAGTCCATCCCCAGAATCTACTCCATTTCTCCTTCCCAGGGAGATCCATGCTTCCCCTATGCTGCCCACCCCCAGGCCCCTTTTCTTTACCTAACCTCTCTAGGTCTGTGGATTGTAGCTTGATTATCATTTACTTTACATCTAATATTCATTTATAAGTGAATGCATACTATATTTTTCTTCCTGGGTCTGGGTTACCTCACTCAGGATGATTTTTTTCTAGTTTAATCCATTTGCCTGCAAATTTCATGATGCCATTTTAAAATTGCTGATTAATATTCTATTATGCTAATCTATCATGTTTTCTTCATCCAATCTTCCATTGAGGGACATCTAGGTTGTTTCCAGTTCCTGACTATTATGAATAAACCTGCAATGAACATAGTTGCACATGTATCCTTATCATAGGATGGAATGCTCTTTGGGTATATGCCCAAGAGGGGGATAACTGAGTCTTGAGGTAGATTGATTTCCAATTTTCTGAGGAACCATCATTATGATTTCCATAGTGGCTGTACAAGTCTGCACTCCCACCAGCAATGGAGGAATGTTCCCCTTGCCCCATATCCTCACCAGCATGAGTTGTCACTTGCATTATTTATCTTAGTTATTCTGACAGAAGTAAGACAGAGGCAGATGGATATCTAAATTCAAGGCCACCCTGGGTTACATGACAGTGAATCAGTCTAAAGGAGAAACAGACCTCACACCTTTAATCCCAGCACTAGAGAGGATACAGAGCTCAGTGCAGTCTCAGGCAGTGATCTGAGATTTGGTGAGGAGCAGTGCAATCTGGAGATGCAATCTGAGATTTGGTGAATCTCCCCTTTGGTCTCATCATTGGTAGAGGTGAGAGCTCTCTAGTGGCTG